AATTTTTTTATTGCAGAGATTAAGGGATGAAACGGGGGTTGATGGATGGGGAATTTAATTCTCCATTGAACAGTCTTTGTTTCATCCCTTAATATTAATTAGTCGGCGAAGAAATCAACTGAAAAATATGAAGTAAACATTGAGTACAAGGAGGACAAAAATACCCATCCGAACCTGTCCCTGTGACAGCGGGACTGCTACTGCCGAGTTACTCAATTTTAATGATGACCACAAGATACTCTTTTTTTGTTTTTAAACTGACAGTACATAGCCGGAGAACCCACGAGCTATTTAGCCTCCCGTATCACATCATAGGGTATAAGAAAATTCATTATTATGAATGAAATATTCACTCTTAAACAATAAGAGTGACAGATCTGGATTCTACAAACAATTTGCAATCGAATGAAAAAAAAAATTGAAAAATAAAAATTTGTCGGCTAGATTAATGGACTATCTTGATTAATTAATTAAAAAAGACTCATTGACTCTTAAACGTTAAAAAAGGGTGTACAATGACCTGCTAACGAATTACAAACGATTCGATAGGGTCATTTGTTTGAAAATAGTTTTTTGTCGGCTAATAGTATACTGCTTCAGGACCTCCGTATAATCCAAAAGCACAAGTGATAAGTTACAAGGAATACGCCATAGGTCAGTTACAACACGGTTTAACCTGTAACTGCCTATTCCTTGTACCTTCGGTTTTCTTGCCTATAACTGCAGCTTGCTTCAGGGTATGGATACTGTAAATAGCAGTTGACAATAGTAAAACGGCAGCACCACACGCTGCTAATGCTACCTCATTTCCCTGTCTGGAATGTTTGTGCAATTTATTTTTCCATTTAAGTGATCGGAGAAATTTGAGATGACTGTTGGATTAATATCTACTAATAGCTACTGCTACTCCATTGGCTTACAAATAAAAAACATTTAACTGCGAACATCCAATGTAAAAGATGTATGCTCTTAAGACTACTCCTCAATGACAGTTCATTACAATTATTCGGGATTGAAATTCTGCATACTTTTCTTCGTGACCTTTTCCCTAGATAATTTAATCAAAGAAATTCAAGACATCACAATGGCTACATTTTTTGCACTAAATAGATCCACATTTTTCCTTTTTGTGTTAATAAAGTTCCTGACTTTGTTCATTTTTTACAAAGCAATTTTTTTGTTGATATTTTGCTTGAGAATGCTCGTTAATTAGGATGATAGTTCACGTCCGTGTAATAATTAATTGTGAGGTGGAATCATGGGACGGAATGTAATTTTAGGACATGTTGATATTTTTAAACTGGTGAATTCTTGTAATCAATTTTTAGAGATATTTGATCATGAGATAGTGTGGTTTTTCCTATGTCCAAAATCCCATGATGCCACCTTATAGTACCAGTTAATTTTTCTACAAATTTTTCTTGCCCGAGTTATCTAAACAATTCAAAACTTTTGCTGTATTCTCTAGCATCAAATCTAGGCAAATCATATTTTTTTCATATTTATGATGAAATACAGAACCAGCTCTAATAATAACAAATATAGGCCCACTATGAACCGCTACAAATATTCTCGTTGAAAAGAAAACATGTCATTTATACTGAATCTTCTAAGACTTACATTCGACTGTAATGTGAATAACATGTCTGATTAATAGTGGATTCCTTCATAAGATCGAAAAAAACTTTTATTGCGAATATGAGTTTGTAGTCCGAGCCGAAGGCGAGGGTTGCTATCATATGAGCTAGAAGTTTTTTCAGGCGGTAAACTACGTTTTCTTTTGAAAAAAGGTAATGAGACGATTAAAATCCTAGCTTTATTGGTGGAAATGGAGATAGGATGTGCGTAAGCTTGGGAGGGAAAAAATCACCACGCGTAGTTTTGGAATTTGTGATCAATAGTGACATTTTGGCTCAATCTTTGATGTCATCCAAAGGCATAATTAAAAAAATAATTCTGTTAATTCACGTATAAAAAAATATTTTTGTAAAAACACTGCGCCAAGAAAAAGTTTTGTTTGGTTTTTACTGGAAAGTTGAAATTTTTGAAAAGTACAAAGAAATAAAAATGAAAGCCAAGTCAGGACTGTCAAATAAATGGGTATAGTACACAATCAGATTTTTAAGAGAACAATGGATCTTAATAAAAAAAGGATTTTTTAAAAATCTTCCATAAGATAAAACATCAGTAGAGGCAGGACCAACATCCTTGGCGCAGATCAGCAGATGGAGGATTAGATTCATATAGACAGTGAGTAGAAAAAATCCGCGCGAAAAACGTTGGTCCTGCCCCTACTGATGTTTTATCTTCCGGAAATTTTTTTAAAATCCTTTTCTTATTGAGATCCATTTTTCTTATAAAAATCTGATTGTGTACTATACCCATTTATTTGACATTCCTGACTTGGCTTTCGTTTTTATTTCTTTGTATTTTTAAAAAATTTCAACTTTCTAGTAAAAACCAAACAAAACTTTTTCTTGGCGCAGTTTTTTTTACAAAAACATTTGTTTTTGTTTTTTAGGGAGATTTCACTTATTTTTTCAAATTAAGCATAGAATTTTTTTCATATCATGAGGAAGTTGTTCTCTCCAATTCAACTCATTTGTTTTTTCACAAGATAGAACATCCTTTCAATTGTTGATTGAAGGAAAACAAATAATTTTACTCCAGAGTCATTGTTTTTACCGACTCCTGATCAATTATTCAGATTTTAGACTTAATTTCGGATGTACAAATTTTGTAAAAATGTTGACTTGATGGATATTTTTATAAAAGGATTTGTTTTTGTTCTTTATTTTGCAGATATCACCAATGTCGTTGAAATAGTTACAAAAGTGTCTTCTTGTTCCTCGCATCTCTGAAACTGAAAACTGTTATCACTCGAAGAAAAATAAATTTTCCAAAAATTAGGTATTGTTGAGTCCTATATATCGATGTTAATTGAAATTCAATACATTCATTAATTATTGATTTTTTTCAAACATCCTTTGTCCCACGATGACTCAAAAACAAAAAAAGTTCTGAATACATCGAATGACGGTTTAAAATTTTTTTTAGAATGTCGTTTTGACCGAATTCGAAGATGAAGGGGATAGCGATAATCGTTATTTTGATTTATCTGAAAATTTACAAAAAAATTTCATTTTT